AGATGGACTCTCTATTAGAAATATAACACAACTTCATTCCCACTAGAAAACACAGCACACAACATATATCTCGATATGGTCCACTTGGGAAGAAAAGAAAAAAAAACACACTTCTATCTTTTGCCTATAAGGGTAAACTAGAAAGTTGGATGTCAGCCTTCTCATTCTCCACATTAAATTCCAATGGGCAGGGAGAAAGGGCAGTTGTATGTTACTATAGCTCTTCTTTTTCAATTTACTGATGCCACTGATGGTTATCCCAGACCAGTGCTGTCCAAAGAGCATTCTGTAATGATGGAAATGTTCTCGAGCTGTGCTATTTAATATGATGGCTATTACCCATATGTGGCTATTGAGCACTTAAAATGTGACTAAAGTGATTGAGGAATGAAATTTTTAATTTCATTTAATTTGAACAAATTTTAACTTAAGTCTAAATAGCCACGTGGGGCAAGTAGCTGCTGTATTGGATAACACAGACCTAGATGGTTCCACTAAGAGTCAAACAGAGTTCCTTTTTCTTCTAAACCTGGTACTTTCCCACTGTTTCCTACATCAAATTAATGAAACTTATCTACTCAGTTATGCAGATCAGAATGCTTGAGTCATCCTGAGCACCTTATATCCAGATGCAATCCATCCCAAATCCTGTTAATTTTAGCTTCTTAAAAAATCTCAAATGTATGTACATTTCTCTATTTCCCACCACCACCACCATCATCCTGGCCGAAGCCACCACCACTATTTGCCTAGGCAACCACAGCATCCCCTAGATTGTTTTATCCCTCCACACTTGCCTCCCTTTTTCTAAATGTAACCATGCCATTCTCTACTCAGAATTCCAGTTGTTCTTAGGAAAAGGATTATATTACTGAGTGCTTATCACATGCCAGGAATTATGCGGGAGTCCAGGAAGAGGATAAGAACAACAAAAGAAAACTGACAAGTTATTCCCTTTCTGTGGCTCAGAAGGCCCTAACTAATCTGAAGCCTATCATTCCCAAATCACTGTCGGCTCCCAACACTTTGTGGGGGAAGACACACCCAGTCTGCTTTTAGCCTGCCTGGAATTTGTGGGACCGTATAGTGAACATACGCATGAGGTATGCTAGGTTATTAAACTAAAGGAGATTAAAATGAATTATAGACCTTTTTGTCTGAAATACTATCAACATTCAGCAAAGGTGAACAACAACAACAGTAATTAGCTTTGATATGTTGAGTGTCTCCTGTGGACATGATTCTTTACAAAAATGGTAAGTGTGGTTTCCACATATAAAAGGCCTATGTATGGATGTACCAGGTGTTTTTATCATTAGTTCACAATAACCATATGCATTTATTATTTAATTCCTTCTTAATAGCTGAAGAAACTGAAGATTAAAACACAGGTAAATTGTGCCATGTCACATAAGTATTAAGTGGAGTTGGAGGAGCTGGTTTCAAACCTAGAGCTGCACTTACACACACACACACACACACACACACACACACACACACAC